GTCGCGAGGATTTCTTCGAACACGTCAATGCTTTCGGAGAGCATCGTCCCTTTCCTCTCGAGCTTCTCTATTCCACAGGGCAATTTTCCGAAATGATTAAAGATGAAAGCTAGATTTTCTCTCAAGGATGCCCTTGTCACCAACTCCTGCGTCACACCGATGCTTGCGGCCTCCGTCGGGTCCAGGGCATTAACCACTGAGGCGACCGCCTCGAAATGCTGGGCGTAATATATCGCAGCATCGACCCACGTGCCCCAACTTGTGAGGACGAGCTGTGGTGGCAGGGGTACGTTGGGAACCATCTCTCGGAATTTCGTGACTCTGGAAGCGGATTTAAGGAAAACCTTCTTGCCATGCGCGACGAGTTTGTCAACATCGGGGAAGACGAGCCGGATTTCTTCGGCTACTCGATGCACCGCGTGCGCTGCACAGGTCAAATGTGAAATTCTCGGGAAAAAAACCTTGAGGGCCTTGCCTGCCTTTTTCATGTAGGCTGCACCATCCGACACGAACAATAGAACCTTGTTACGGGACCCGCGCGTCAGACGGCGTGCATCGCACACACCCGAACGAGACGGATACAGATGAACACCTACCAAGGATGCCAGGACTTCTTATCGAAAGGGTACAGCCGAATAACGTGGCGATCCCGGCTACGATCTGTTTTGGAAAACTGACTAGATAGGGTGATAGCTCTCGGTTAGTAGAAGACTTTTTCACGAGTCTCCCAGAAATCGACGCGGCCAGTTTCGAGAAAAAGGTCAAAGCTCAAAAATCTTAAAATGCGATTTTCTCGAAAACGGTAAGAGCTAGAGGGTCGTGCTTGGTCTCGTTGGAAAGCTGACGAAAAATGCCACAATTCTAGCCCTGTCCCATTTTTCTCAGTACTTTTCATCATCATTTTTTTCCGAATTTTAATTTTCTTCAAGCTCCCAGACACCGAAGACCTTCGTGAACATGGATGACATTATGTCACAAATGAACCTAGTAAACCCATGTACACGCACACCAAGTTTCATCAAATCGGAATGTCCAAATAGGTTCATTCGCGAACACTTCATTCCCTACCACTGATTTCCATTGGTTTTTTGGTAAACGCCCATTGCCGCTCCCAATCGCTATTCCCTGGTCTGACTCTGA